TGAATGGTATGATTGTTGCGTTTTTTTAAACTATGTATGGTTTTATGTTTTTGTAACTTTGTTTGTTTTTCCCCTCCCTTTGAGTTGTGAGCCGCCCTGAGTCCCTTTTAGGGAAAAGGGCGGCATACAAATAAATTAAAATGAAATGAAAAAATGAAATGAAATATGGCATTTCCTGATTGGAATACAAGGGGGAAGGTAGATAAGAAGAAAACCACAATTATATTGGACAGTAGATGACAAGAGAAAGGAGGCAACAATCCCATCGGAGACCTTTGTTTGCACAAAATAACATAACATAGCTGGAGTTAAACTAGGCTTGGATTGTACTTGTGGCATATTGACCCAAACATTCTTATCATTAGTAGGAAATACTGCATGTGGCATGGGTGCAACTAAAGCTGATAACATCTTCTCCGTTGTACTAAAATGTGTATGTAAAAACTGTAATAAAATCAACATTGTGCAGTGAAGGTTATGTGAGGCCCATGTAGTGAAGATCAAGGTAGTTGCAACTTGGAATACAAAAGGGATAAATTGTAAAGAACATGAACTGATGAAAGAGAGCAGGTAGAAACTGACCTTAGGGAGTGGAAGAGAACAACGGAGCATTAAGGAGATACAAAAGGCAAATTATCTTTGGGAAAGAGGAAAGTATGAGAATGAAACTCAAAATAACCTACCTTGATTTTGTTTAGCCAGCTTTCAAGACTCTGTTATTCTAACCTACAACAATACAGAGAAAGGAAGGAAGGTGGGTAGGAAGGAAGGAAGGAAATAGGAAACTAAGATAAAGAAATGGGTGAAATAGATTAGGCTTTGTGCCAGACTTGAAATGTGCAGATAAAATTTTTGTTTTCCAGTAGGTGATTGAGAAATGAAGAAATCAAATAAAACCTATTGTATATTTGTTGTTTTAGTCCTGTGATGGCGAACCTATGGCACCTGTGCCACAGGTGGCATGGGGAGCCATCTCTGAGGGCACATGCGTGTGCCGGCCAGCTGATTTTGGGCCTTTGAAGAGCCTCCAGAGGGCCGGGGGAGGCAGTTTTCATCCTCCCCAGGCTTCAGGAGGAGGGGGCATGCGCACATGTGCAGGGGGTATGTGCACAGGGGGTATTGAATTATAGGTGTGGGCACGCACCCTTGCGCTATCGCACGTATGCACGCTTTTGGCACCCGAGCCAAAAAAGGTTAGCCATCACTGTTTTAGACAAAGTGAAAAGGTTTGAATTATGGAATATTATCCACAAATAAGGGGCTTGAAGTTAGTTGCTTATTGTAATAGGAGCAATGTATCATGGCAATAATGCCTGCTTCCAAATGAATGGAATACTAACTACACGTTCAACAATACCCAAAGACTAAGACAAGAATGTGTGATGTTCCATCAGTTGTTTCATGTATGGATGGATAAATGCATGTGAGTTGTTGGAAGAACTTGAAAATCCATGGCCGTGTCTATGCAGAAAATGCTATGTTGTTGGCTGAGGATCTGAATTATTTGCAGGGAATGTCCTGTATATTGCAAGAAGAAGCACGGTTATTAAAATTAATGTTTTGGAGACATGGATGAATGAGAAAATGGAGTGAATATTTGCAGATTGTAATAAATGGCAAAAGAAATAGAGCATGCTAATGAATTGTGTATCCTGGTTAAAGGTTCCTAAATTGTGTATCCTGGTGAAAGGTAATTTTAAGACGTGCAAATGCTGGTAGAAAAGTAATGACCGCTATGTGGTCCGTTGCAAGAAATGAATGTTTGTTGAAAAAAACTGGCTGTGTATGAGAGCATACTTCTGCCCCGTCTTGATCCTGCTCCCCTCATAGGCCTATTTGGGGGGGACGGGACAAAGACCCTGACTGATAAGACTATTCAGGTGTACAAACCCTCTTGCAGCCCAAACCAAAGTGGAAAGTGTCCAAGGAAAAGGCAGGAAATGAATCTGCCTATGAAAAAAAAAAATTCCAGAAGAATGATAGACCTATTGTTACCACCTTTAATTTATCAGGCAAGATGGAGCCTATAAGCAGATCAACAGATCTTCTTCCTACTTTACCCTGTCCCCCATTCTGTCAACTAAAGGTACTTTTGGAACCATCTCTTCCAACAGGATTTGATCTATTTAAGGCATTTTTCCTAAATGAAGCTGTTAGTCGTGGCTAATTTCTGGGAAGTGAGAGAGATTGAAGCCAGGCAGTATTGCTTCTCTGGGGTGGCCTCCCATAAGGGTTATGATTAGCTCCCCAACTATAGCTTTTCGGAAGCTAGTTAAACCAAAGTTAATTCAGGGGCTAATTGTGGCACCATAGGAGTTTTGTATTTTGACATTAATTTAATATAATTTTAATTTAAATACACCATGCATGTTTCACTGTTGTTTCATAACTGCTACGAACTTGCCAAGAATTTTGAGGTGTGGTCTATACTTAAAGAAAATAAACCAACTAATAAATCTTTTTCCAGTTTCCTGGAAAAATGGCATTTGCTTGGTGTGGCAGAGACCCTTGTAGACCGAAAGGTGTAGGATGGATTGGCGAATAACAGAAAACAATGTGCTGTTTTTTTCCAGGAAATACATATTTCCTTGCCAGAAACGAAGACTAAATGGCTGTGTGAGTCAGGTGTCTGGTCTGTTTCACCTCTCCAGTCAAAATACTCATGGAAAGCACTACCCAATAATGGCTGAATGGAGGGTGGTATGTCTGCAGAAACTTAAGTGGCCAACAAATGGTGGACAGATCCTGATGTCTTGTTTTCATTATCAGACTCATCACAGATTGGTCTGTATCAGGGGTGGGTTCCTGCCAGTTCTAACCTCTTCTATAGAAGAGGTTCCACAAACCTACAGTGCCGTTTAGAACCTGTTCCAGCTCCCTCCCCCCGCCCGTCTGCACAAGATGAAGAATGAGAGGAGGAATTCTGGGAGTTGAAGTCCACAAGCTGTCAAGTTTGAACACCTCTGGGTTTTTTCTAAAGGGTTAGGGGTGCAAGGGTCTTGTAACTTGACAGCTTTAAGACTTGCGTGCTTCAAATGCCAGAGTTTCTGAGCCAACATTTTGAAAATTTTGAAACCCACCACTGGTCTGTATCATTATGAGACTCATCACAGATTGGACAGCAACTTTTGTATGCAGCAAAAAATAGAAAATACTGCTATGACAGTGAATTAACTAAAGGGCGTTCTGAATGCTTTCAGCCGGCCATGGTTGACACAGAAACATTGTTATGAGGATAGGTCCCTTAAAAACGGTTAGCAAAGTGTAAACATGCTATGATATATGTCGGATGACAATTTGCCCACAGATTAAAAACAAATTGAGGAAAATGTCATCTGAGCAAATAACACATTCTCCTACTTCAGATTATAACAATGATAGAAAATATTATTAAAAGTCTTAACAACCGAGTATTCCTAAGTACTACTTGTTTTTTTTTAAAAAGCTTAGCTCCGAACCCTTATTATTACAAAAATAATAAGTTCCAAATATACCTGGAGAGAAAGCAAACTGGGGGATAGTGAATATACTGGGAAAATATTTGAGTGGCTTTTCTTATGCATTCATCCTTTAGAGCAGTGGTCTCCAACCTTGGCAACTTTAAGACCTGTGGACCAGCTTTGCTGGCTGAGGAACTCTGGGAGTTGAAGTCCACAAGTCTTAAAGTTGCCAAGGTTGGAGACCACTGCTTTAGAGGGTAGTTTGGTTGCTTAAGGAATGAAGATAAAGAAATTTAAAAAAAGAGCAATCGATCAAAGAGCCAACTTGAAATTAGTCTCACTGCATTAAATACAAAGTTATTAGTTTCAGTCCTCAGGGTAAGCTCCGAAAAATTAATTCTGCACATTTCAGTGAAGTTAATCAAAATGAAGAAAAACAAGTTTTGGAGGAGGCCATGTTTGCACACCACTTAGAGCACAACAGGATAGCACATCAAATCAGGATATGAATGAGCAAATTCAGACCACACGTAATTTTGCTTGCTGCTACCTCTGCAAGCTTGCATGCTCCTTTTGCTTGGTTCCTGCCTCTTCAAGGCAGGTGATCAAAGGTATTACATCAATGTAGAGTTCATTCACATAGCTTCAAACCTCATATGAATGGGGTACAAATTTCCCTGCTTTCAGTTTTCTGTTTAGTTATTGGAAGAGGACTAAATGAAAGTCATACCCTGTTTCCCTGAAAATAAGACCAATAGGGCTTTTGAGCACATGCTCTAAAATAAGCCCTCCCCCCAAAAATAAGCCCTCCCTGAAAATATTGCAACACAGCAGCAGCCATGAGGTGACCATACTTGCTGCCTTCTGCACCTCAAAAATAATAAGCCCTCCCAGAAATAAGACCAAGCACTTATTTCAGGGTCAAACAAAAATAAGACCCTGTCTTATTTTCTGGGAAACACTGTAGTTAAATAACAAAAAGACATGGTTAAAACAAGTCAGGATGCATAGGACAGCCTAATTTTATGTGGTGGCTTCTTATAAAGCACAATTTCTCCCTGATAATGGCTCCACATCCTATTTTGAACAAACAAACAAAAAAAACTGCATTGTAATTGTTATATGCAAAGCGGACTTGTGATTAAAGAACCCACTGCAATTGCCCTGAAAAACATCATGTTGGCCCTTTCTTAGCTTGTGATTCCTTCTGTCATGGTACTTGGGAATGATCCTGAAAGACAGGAGGAAAAGTCACAGAGTAGAACACAGGTAAGAAACAGTCCAGCCGCAGAAGCAATGTGGACCTGGCAACGTCTCAGTAGGGACACTCCCTGATTTCTTGGTACAGCAAATTTCGTTGTACAGTAAATGATGCAGAAGGGAGTCCTATTTCAAATTCACCAAGAGAGGGATCATGTAACACTGAAGAAAGGGGACAGAGATGGAGAGGATAGGAAAGTGGTTACTGAATGGCAGAGACTCTCTACTTTCAAAGACGTTTTATCCCCTATTAGGTCTGTCAGTGATGATAGTGGCTCCCCTCCTGCCCTATGGGAAGAGATATCCGAAGGAAGCCAAGCCTTGCTTTCTATCTAGGAAATTCTCTTTTCAGTCTCTGCTGGAAGCATTGACCTTGGACTGGCAATGCCCAACCTGCCCTTCAGCCAAAAAACCCTGCAAGGATGGTGAAAAATGTCTGCTGTAGTTTAGAAAGTAACCTTGATTGGGGGTGGGGGTGAAAGGAGCATCTGCTCATCTTCAGCCTTGGCTTGGAATGCGTCTCCCAATGTAAAATGTTTCTCTTTTCTTTCTGATTAAGCTTACATCTAACTTTCCCTTGGGTGGCTTCCCACCAGTTCTTACTCCGTGCCTTGATTTCAAAACAGCAATGTTGGGGACGGGACAGGATCACATCATAGGCAATCACTACTGACCTATACAATTGTAGCCTACATTTATTTTATTGCGATAGGAGGGGATCTCCCCCTTCCCCCCGGCTGGGAAAAAAGCAACAAAGGCTGTGTTTTCATCCTTTAAAACAGCTGTTATTTACTAATACAAATGTATCAGTGTTTGCAAACCCAGACAGACCTTTCATTACTTCTGTGAGCAAGATAGAGTCCTTGCTTCCAGCCAACAGTATCCTGGCACCTTCTATCTTTTTAGGCCCCCTCACTGTCTCTCCTTAACAACGCAGACAACCCTCTTTTTCCTTTCTCCCCCATCACCACAAGGAACCCGCCACTTCTTGCTTCTGAGCTCTGCCCGCCCTGAGGACACAGGCCAGGTCCGTTTTGTGGCCAAGACAGCAGCTTCGGAAGCCAGGCTGGAAGTGGAAGGTAAGGAAGCTACTTCTCTGTTGGGTCTGATGTTAGTTCTCGGGTGAACTGGGTTGACCCCAACAGGCAAAGAAGGAGTTGGTATTTGTGCTGGAAGAGCAGGGTTAGGACTAGGGTTAGGGCAGAGGTGATATTCAGCCAGTTCTGATTGGTTCTGACAAACCTGTAGTGGAAATTTTGAGTAGTTCGGAGTATCGGCAAATACCATCTCTGGCTGGCCAGCCCTATCTATTCACTGCTTCTCAAGTCCCAGCTGATTGGACTATTAGCAGATCGACTGGGTCTTCTTTTGATGCCCTACACAGGAGAACAAAGCTGTTAGTGTGGTGGAGAGGGAATGAGGATTTTACATTAACCTTCCCCTAGGAGTGGGGAGGGAATGGGGCAGTGGTGGGTTCCTACTGGTTCGGCCCGGTTCGACTGACCCAGTAGTGGTTTGCCGGCCTGGGTTGCTGGAACTGGCCGTGACTTAGGCCTGCTACGTCTCCAAACTGGTTCCCCAGTTAGCGTGGCATGAGGGTTTTTTTTCTTCATTTTTTAATGTTCTGTGCATGCGCAAACCTGTTTATGGGCAACTGTGCACGTACACGGAGCAAAATTGCATGTGCACTGAACTGGCAGTAATGTCGGCAGCAACCCACCCCTGGAATGGGGAATTTTGCAGTATCCTTCCCCTACCACGCTAAGCCATGCCACACCCACCAATCCCCGTCCTGCCCAAGCCATGCCCACCAAGCCACGCCCACAGAACCAGTAGTAAAAATTTTTGAATCCTACCACTGGGTTAGGGTAACCTAACCCTAACTCTCTCTTTGCAGGGAAGGGAGCACTACTAACTATACTTGCCCCCAATCTGCTTTGAGACCTTTCCAGGGCATGCCACAAGGTGCACTTTAAAAAATCAGTGAGCAGGAGTAGGACAGAAACAGAATTTTGCTTCCTTTGTTGCTATTTTCAGAATTGTTACATTGAAAATGAAGGTCTCTGGGAAGAAAGATTGTGCATTTACAAATGATATACAATGACAAGGATTGTATGTTTATAGGCAGCTACCAGACCCTGTGCATCCGTGTGCATGAGAGTACACACATGGAAACTATAAAGATTGGGAAAAACTGCTTGGGAAAGATTATATGTGAACACAGAGGGGAAAAAACTGAAAACATATTCTGAAACTGCCCTTTCCAGTAATTTGCTTTGCTTTGATAAGTCTATAACTTATATTTATATGCACAGCAATGTTTTCAAGTGAGGGCAGAATTACTCATATTTGTTGAATTTCTATCTCACCACAATATAATAATTCTCAGTGGTTTACTAAGGGATACAGAATTATTCAGAATTAAGAGGGTTGGACTAGAAGGCCTCCAAGGTCCCTTCCAATTCTGTTCTTCTGTTCATTATATTTATGTAGCAAAATGAGAAAAATAGTGTCTTGTTGGTATGATGCATCATGATGAAAGGGTTGGAGCTTATGGCATGATTTGCTTTCCTCCTTTTTACAAAAGCCTCATGATTCTGAGAATGTCTCCGTGTGTGCAACTTATTGAGAATGTATTATAAGGAACCAGAACTCCTTTATTAATTTGCAAAAGTGAGTCAGGGGTCAGGAGGTGAGAAGCCAACTTCTCAGAGCCTTTGGGTCTGCTCTCTCCTACAGCATTGCCAATTCGCATTGTGAAGCCACTGCGTGATAAAACTGTACTGGTGCGTCACAAAGCCACGCTGGAATGCACAGTGTCTCAGGCTCGAGGACGTGTGCGCTGGTTTCGGGGTGACACAGAGATCTATGCTGGGCCAAAGTATGAAATCTGCAACTTGGATTGTTATCGAACTCTGGTTATTCACTGTGTGGAGCCTGCAGATGAAGGCCTGTATACCTGTGATGCCCTGGATGATCATTCCACAGCCCGCCTGCTAGTGGAGGGTAAGAGTGTGTGAGTGCAGTGAAGAAACCAACAGGCAGGGGAGATGGCATACTTCAAAGAAGACAATGCTATGGAGAAAGGATTAGCAGGAATTGCTAGCCAGCAACAGACTGAGAATGCCGAAGAGGCAGAAGTGGAACCAGAATTAGAATTAAAAAAATTGTGACCCATAGCTGCATGGCAGAAAGCCCCTTTTGACAGCTTCTCATGCCCTATTGACTTCATCAACACATTTTAGTGACACTGCCGTAAACCTGGCGTGACTTCTCAAAGTTTGAGAGAACAAATAGATGGCAGTTGTAGCAGAAGCCCTAGAACAGGATTGACAACTTTAAATAAATAAATCTCCTCTCCCTCCTGTTTTGCAAGATACAGTTTACTTTCCATTTCAGTCCTCCAAAATAAAAAGCTGTGCAGCCATCAAAAAGTTCCTGGTTTAGAATCTCACACCAGGGTGCTTCTTTTGTTATATGCTCAGCTGAGTTTGCTTTTAATACCTAGACTGAGCTGTCTTGTTCATACAAGAGCAGTAGTCATCCTTTCTTCAGTTTTTCACCTTTGCCTTGTTACTCTAGTTTTAACACAATGGAGTGAGCCACGTTGTTGTATTTGTCTGATACTTAAAACTGGACACTTGCTCATCCATGGCAAATTACCCAACAATCTGTTAGCCCACTTCAGACACGTTCTTTAGAGAGCGGTTGCCGTGTCTATAAATTTTTGTTGTTCTCTTCTGTTGCAGCTGAGGGAATCCAGGTGGTCCAACCTCTGAAGAACGTGGAAGTGATGGCTCCCTTTGAGGCGCAGTTTGAGTGTGAAATATCTGCCCCTTCAGACTTCACTCCCCAGTGGAGCCTCAATGGGGAGGAGCTGCAGCCTGGCTTGCAGGTGCAGATGGAGAGTGTGGGACACATCCATAAACTGAGGTTCTGCAGGACTAGCCCTAACATGAGTGGGATGGTGAAGATTACCATTGGTAATGCCCGTTCCAAAGCCCATCTCACAGTGCGAGGTAAATATGTCTGATGGGTTGTTTGGATGGGCTCAGGGAATATGTGGAATTGGTTAAACTTTCTTTTTGACGACCCTGTGATAAACCTGGTTGTTAAGGCTAGTCTGAGCCTTGGGAAATAATGTGAGAAATGGATCACATCTTCCATGGCTTGCACATTACCATAGATCTACCCGTATTTTTGGAGTATAATACGCACCGGAGGATAAGACGGCCAAGATTTTGAAGAGGCAAATTAAAAAAAAGTTTTTGCACTCTGCAGACCTCCCAAAACAGCCCGATTTTTGTGAAAACAGGTCCATTTGTTTTTTTTTTTAAAAGCCAGTGAATAGCATTTAGGAGGCTTGTAGAGTGCTCCTGGGGGTGGGGTGGGGCAAAAATGAGCAAAAAACAGCCCGTTTTTTGTGAAAACGAGCCTGTTTTTTTGTGTAAAAAAAAAAGGGCATGCATAGCCTTTAGGAGGCTTATAGAGTGCTCCTGGGAGCTGGGGGGGCGGGGGGAAATTGAGCAAAAATCAGGCCGTTTTTCTCTCATTTCTTCCCTCCCCAGCCCCCAGGAGCACTCTGTAAGCCTCCTAAAGGCTATGCACTGTCATTTTGGTGAAGGAGGTGGGGTTTCAGGAGGCAAAAAATGCTGTATTCAGTGTATAAGACCCACCCAGATTTTCAGCCTCTTTTTTGAGGGGAAAAAGTGTGTCTTATACTCCAAAAAATACGGTACTTGGAATACTGATCGAAGATGAAAGGGGCCCAACAAAATACTGAATTCAGAGTGATAATCTCTGAATTTGACATTGAACCTAGGTTCTTAGGATTCCTCAATGCTGGCCATGTTAGCTAGTGTTACTGGGAATTATAGTTCAGCAACATCTGGGTAACTATAGATCCCTATCCCTGGGAATATACATTTGAGGGAAGGGGAAGTGGTTGAATGGTTCCTCGGTCATGATAGATTTATTTGTCTAAACCATTGTTTGTTTGTTTGTTTTAAACCAGAGTGCTAGCATCATGAAAGTCCTGAATACAGTGGAGCAAAGTTTAACCTTGCAAAAAGCCAAGGAAACAAGTTAGACGGTTATATGAATAATTGCATACAAAAAGACAAGTCGTCTTCTTCCTCTTCTGCATGACATGGGAACCACGTTCTGTTTTGTTAAATGTTCTTAAGTCCTACTTTTAAAAAAATGTTGCGTTTGGTTGATGTGATGATCTGCTGGTCTTGGATCAATGGGGAAAAGACAAAGCACTTGAACTCTTATTACCTCTAACTTTATATATTCTTTAATGGGTCTAATTTAGACCAACTGAATGGCCAATCTACTTTCTTCTCCCCACCCAATAAAACTCACTTCCCCTCACAGATGCATTGAACTTGTGGTGTGTACTATATTCTGTTCTCCCATATTCTTCATATAAAGCTGCAACAGGCTCAACAGAAAGGTTAGGGTATGCCTAGATATACTATATTGCCAAAAGTATTCGCTTATCCATCCAAATAATCAGAATCAAGTGTTCCAATCATTTCCATGGCCACAGGTGTATAAAATCAAGTACCTAGGCATGCAGACCGTTTTTACAAACTTTTGATTTTGATTATTGGGATGAATAAGCAAATACTTTTGGCAATAAAGTGTAGATGCAGTAAATATGTGTGTGCAGTATACCTTTATGTGTATTATTTATATTTCTAAACCCAATTCCTTAAAGAAGATCTGAAATCAAAAAGAGATATTCCTTTGGAGGAAAAACACAAATGGATAATTTAAAGCAATTGTCTGGAGTGTGTTATGCCTTTGCCAATAAAGTAGGAAAACTTCAAAGGAAAACTTCAGAACGTCAAGATTGCTCTTTAAATATATCTGCTACAAATATTGTTTTAAGATGTGGGTTGACTTCA